TGAAACAGGACTGACATCGGGGTTGGGGGGAGACTGAGAAAGATGGGATAAATTATGTATACTGCATTGAAACAGATGAGTGAGAAAAGTGTTTAAAAGGGATATGTGATTGGGTATTTTTGTCATGATGGAAGTCCAGAGCGAAGGCGGCATAGTGGAGTGGACCTGGGGGGAGGGATTGTAAAACAATGAAAGAATTTTTCTTTTACTTTTTCAAGAGGGCAATGTATTGGGGGCAGGGAGGGTTGGGAGAGGAGAAAAATGCAACAATGAATGAATGGAAAGACAAAGTCTCTGTAAGTTTTCACTGAAATTAATAATAAATTATGAAAGGGGGGGAAAAAAAGAACAGATGTCAAAGTGTCCAGAACTCCAAATGGCTGAAACGTTTGCTGTTCTGTGAGTATAGAATGGGAGAGAGTCCTGTGTGGACCGGTCACAGGCTGACTCGTGTTCTTTCAAAATATGTGTCAACTTGGCTGGGCCACGATGAACAGTATTACATAATTACCTTCCATTTTGTCATTTGATGTAATGATCCCAACCTCTGTGAAGTTAATGACTAGAATTAGAGGCAGTTATGTTGGAAGAAGGAGAGGCGTCCACGTCCTCAACAACATGCCTCTGGAAACTATGAACTTTGATGTCCATAGTTGTAGAGTAGCTTCAGGCCTTTTGTTCATAGGGTCACTATGAGTCATGCTCGACTCAAAGACAATCAACAACAACAACAACATGTTAAGGAGGCAGGATTTAATCACGAGGTTGCACTGTATGTTGAGTTAATCTCTTTGGACCATCTCCCAGACATATCTACTCATTCTCTTGGCCACCCATGTCAAACAAACTGACATCACTACTCCTCAGTTATTTGGTATGATCCCTAACTGCAGATTTTCCCCAGGCAATGTGTCTTCTTATTTCCCAGTTGCTCATAGCAACATAGGGTTGCTATGAGCCGCAGCTGACTCGACGGCACATAACAACAACAACATGGCCTGAATAAAACACACCTTAGTCCTCAAACTGACATCGCTACTCCTCAATTATTTGGTATGGTCCCTAACTGCAGATTTTCCCATGCAGTGTGTCTCCTTATTTTCCAATTGCTGGTATCAAGTGTGTTAATTGTGGATCCAAGCAAGATGAAGCTGTTGGCAGTTTTAATCTT